ACTGAAGCATCTACACACTGGGAGCTAAAGAAATCTTCCCTCTTTAACTTTGCTGTTGGGTATTCTGTCTCAGCAACGAAGACAAGTAGCTTAAGACACCACACCTTTCAGACACGGGAAGGACGCCGAGATGCCGCTGTGTTTGTGAAGGAATCCTCTGAGGGTTTGGAGCAGAGCTCTCAACCTCGCTGCTGTGGACCTCAGGGCCAGGTCACAGTTTGGGAGACACTCTCCTGACATCCTGGGACATTCAGCCAACCCCTGGCCTCTGCCCAGGAGCGGCCCCGACCGTGCGCTCCCTCCCAGTCACAGTGTATCTGGTGGCCCCGAGGAGGGGTGTCCTTGCTGAGAGCTGCTGTGTGGGACGAGGGTCATCAGCCCCCATCAGGCAGGGGGTTCTGCAGCCAGGCACCTGCCCCAGCCTCTTGGTGACAGCGCCCACCTTGGTCGGAGATGGACTGCAGCAGTGTCTGACCAAGGCCCTCCCATGTATGCTGCCGACCTGTGACAGTGGTCACCCTGACCAGCCTCCCAGACACCCCACAGCTGCCCCTTCTCCCAATGCTGGGTACCCACAATCAGGGGCTCCCGTATGTCAGGGACGGGGTGACAGCTAAATCCAGCCCCCGGCCCCAGCACAGGGGAGATCTGCAGCCTGAATTGTTTCCAACAGGAGAGCTGCCCAGGACCTTCCTCAGTGGACCCAGAGCAACCCCAATGTGGGCCAGGCTCCAGTGAGCAGATGGAGGGGTGGTCATGGGCCTGGGGGAGGGGCACAAGGCAGCCTCACCTGGCCAGCGGTGGGCAGCAGGGCCGCATCTCTGAAGATTCCATATTCCGATCCCCAGGCCCAGCAGGGCTGCAGGCCTTGTGTGTGTGTGTGTGTGTGTGTGTGTGTGTGTGTGTGTGTGTGGTGGCCATGTGCGAGCGTGTACAGGTGTTTGTACACAAGAGGTGTGGTGCCCGAGCCACCAAGCCCACACACTGCTCTCTTCTCCTCACACACTGACCATTCCCTGATGTGCGTCAGACCTTCACGCACAATCAGTGTCTTGGATGTCCCCGCCCCGGGTTTCAGCTCTGCAAAGGGCTGCCTAGTGTGTTCACTGGCACAGAGACTGAGGCCCTGGCCTGGAGCATATGTGGTTAGGGGCTCAGAAAGTGTATGGGATGGGCATGTGGGTGGGTGGGTGAATGGGTGAGTATCTGCCAGTGTGGATGAGTGCATCTCCGTGCAAACTTTGACTTTAGAAGATACTTAAGGAAACACATTTTTGAAAGAAGAAGATACTTAAGGTTTCTTCTTTCGAAGTCCCATACCAGAGAAGCAACACAGGCTGAGCAGTTGAGTCCTCCTAGGGGCTTAGGTGCAACTATTGGAACCAGAATCTCAAGCCCTATCCCAGGTTGATCCAGGCAGGGGTGGGCTGTGCTCAGGCACAGGGGTGGGGTGTATTGGGCCTCATGTGGGCAGGAAGCCTCTGCTCAGGGCTAAAGTTGAGCCTCGAGATCCCAACGGCTCCCAGGAAAGGCAGACCTGGGTTTTGAGCTCAGGAAAGGAGCAGGATCCAAGTGACACTTGTCCCACTGGATAGGTAGGGGTGGCCGGAAGCTTTCCTGGAAACAAGAGTCCGTCAGTACCAGTCCCTGAGCTGAGGCGTTCGCATCACCTCTGTACTCCCACTGTACAGGTGAAAAGGAAACTGAGGCACAGTGAGGTTAGGTGACTTCTCCAAGAACACACAGCTAGGAAGTGGCAGAGCTGGGATTCAAAGCCTTGGCAGGCGGAGTCCTTAACCACTGTGTGGTCTGTCCCTGTCTGTCTTTCCGTCAGTACCAGTCCCTGAGCTGAGGCGTTCGCATCACCTCTGTACTCCCACTGTACAGGTGAAAAGGAAACTGAGGCACAGTGAGGTTAGGTGACTTCTCCAAGAACACACAGCTAGGAAGTGGCAGAGCTGGGATTCAAAGCCTTGGCAGGCGGAGTCCTTAACCACTGTGTGGTCTGTCCCTCTGTCTGTCTGTCAGTCCATCCACCCTCTTGGCTGTCTGCCACTCGGTCCCGCCACTCACCTGCTGCCACTCGCCCGCCCAGCGGCCCATCCATCCACCGCTGTCACCCATCCATCCTGGAGGTAATGCAGTTAGGGCGCCAGGGCCCTGCGGGGCGAGAGGCCTCACACTGCCCATCTGGCCAGGCCAGGGCAGACTGGGGGTGGGGGCTGCCCCGGGGCGGGCAGGGCTGTGCAAGGGCTGGAGGGAATTAGCCGAGTGACTGCAGGATCATCTAATTAGGAACGCTAGTGATAAGCAGATAGCATCAGGGGTGATTAGAATCCTTTTAAAAAGCCACTCCATTAATTACAGAGACACAGAGGGGCCTCTGGCTGCCTAATCAGCCCATCAGTTCCCAGGAGGACTTCCTGGGACTGCTGTGTGACCTTGGGTATGCCCGGCCCTCTCTGGTCCCCCAGGCAGTGGGTCAGGCACTGTTGGAGAACCGGGTACTTGGAGTCCTTTCTCTTTCCAGACTGCGGCTCAGGGGGTGAGCTCCGGGGTGGCCTGGGGTCCAGGGATGCGGGACATCAGAGGCTGAGCCCAGGGGGGCAATTCCAGGAAGGGGCGTCACCACACCCCCAGTGAGTGGGGACAGTGGCTCAGAGCTCGGGGGAGGCAAGAACACAGCCCAGACACCGTGGAGGGGCCTTGGGGGCCCCCTGCTGCCCCACAGGACCCTCAACCTCCTTTCAGGAGGGGACATCATCCCTGGGGGACAGCTTCTAGTTCCTAGATCCATACTCTCCCTGATGGGGCAGCCCTGTCACTGCCAAGAGCACCGTCACGGCCGCCACCCCGTCACCACTGTCACCATTACTGTGACCACCACCACAGCCAGCACCACTGTCGCCGTTCCCGCCTCCTCCAGAGTTGCCCCCATCACCTTCCTGCACTGGGCCACCATGGCAGGACATGGACGGCCACCGACTGCCACAGCCGGGTGAGCTTTAGCGCAGGCTCCTACCGCCACTGGTTCACGGGGAGGGTACACCGGGCGCTGAAGGGCTCCGGGCTCCAGGATGCCTCTGCGCTCGAGGTTTGTGGTCCTCGCTCAGTCTCACGTTGGCCACCCTGACAGGACTCATGGGAGGAAGGGACTTGAGGGCCCCCTTGCCTCCCACGGTGAAGACAGCCCGGACCCCACTCCACCAGGGCCCTCAGCTGCCGCTCCGCTGGAGAGTCCTTCCCGTACTTGACGTCTTCCCCTCACCGTGACCTCCTCCGCAACCGCTCTCACTGCCATCCTCCACTAAGGCCACTGAGTGCCGCCCACCCCATGGCCACCGGGTGTCCCCGATCCTGTGACCCCACCAGCCGCAGCCCCCTCCCTGCTTCTGTGGCATCATCAAGGCCATCATTATCACCTGCGGTGGCACAGAGCCACCCGGCCCCGTTCCTGCGCCTCTCCAGGGGGTGCCTGGGGACTTGAAGATGCTTCCGGAAGGAACAGCATCCCTCTGGTGGCACTGGCAGGGATGGTGGTCATGACAATGGTGGCACTGGTCAGGGTGGCACGAGGGTAGGAATCGCTGTCGGCAGTATTGTTTAGTTACAGTTCCCAGACGCCATCAGGTGTCAGGACAAAAGCTAGAGAAATGGAAACACCCAGGACTATGTCATTGACCTTGGTCTAGGGCTGTTGTAACAGCCAATCACAAACCAGGTGGCTTCAAAGGACAGGGATCTGCTAGGCATGGTACCAAATACCTGTAATCCCAGTAGTCGGGAGGCTGAGGCAGGAGGATCGCCATAAGTTTGATCTATATAGCCTAAGGTGGAGTTGTCTCAAAAAGCAAACGCTAACAAATAAAAATCTCCCACAAAGAGCAGAAATCTATTTTTTCACAGTTCTGGAGGCCAGAAGCACAGAAGCAGCTTTTCAGTGGGGCTGCACTCTGAGGAAGGCCTTCTTAGTTCTTCTTTCCTGGCCACGGTCAGCCGGGTCTGTCTCCAGACATTGCCCTTCACTTGTTGGACTTAGGACCCACCCGAGTAATCCAAGTCCATCTCATCTCTATAACCATAAGGTCCCTCTCTCCAAATAAGCTCATGCTGGGTTTCCAGGGATTTGGAGGGAAACAGGGTTTTGGGGAGCACTGTTCAGCCCACTCCACTCACTCCTCTGTATTACTACCTGTCTCTATTTTCCTCTCTGGAATCGAGTGGGATCTTCTACCAACTCTGCCACAACAGCCCAGGACAGACCTGGGTTCTGACCTTCTGCTCCCTTGCTTGCTGTGTGACCTTGCACAGATCGCTGTATGTCTCTGAGCTTCATTCATTCAATGCATGTTTGCCAAGTGCCACCGTGTGCCTGGATCATCCTAGAGGCTGGCAGACATCCTTATCTGTGTGGGGCTCGCTTATCCCTGGGGATCTGACGGGATAACACGATGCCAGATAAATAAACTCCCACCACCACCCCTGGCCAGCCTGATCCCCCAACCTGGGCCTCCTTGTTACACAGCAGCTACCCAGCCACTGGGCCTGATGACCCGAGGAGGTAGGTCCCAGGAAGCTCCGCGTGCCTCCCCTGCTCCCTTTCCCCAGACCTTCAAAGCCAACCTAGGCCTGGAGCCTGTGCCGGGTCCCACCTCTGTGCTGGCTCCCGGGGCCACAGCTGGCACCCTGGGGTGGCCCAGCCTCCCAGCCTCTGGGTGCAGACCTGGGCCCAGCCCTGGGGTCAG